ATTTTATTGTATTATTTATTTATTTAATATTATTGTTATTATTATTATTATTATTATTATTATTATTATTATTATTATTATTATTTATAAGCCGTAAGAATAATTTAGATGACCAAGCCGAACTATCTTGTATCTTAAAACACTCAAAGCAGTCATGCACTGGATTATCTCATGAAGGCTATCTAATGCACTGATCACCGATTTGCATTATCCTTCGGGATTAATTTTTAGTGAGTAAAAAATCAATTTGACGCTTTATTTTATCAGTTCTTTTTCTTTATTTATTACTGCTTTCGCGCCACGGAAATGAAAGCTAATGCGTTTGCGACGCCTTATAATCTTTTGTTATAAAAAAAAATCGCTGAACATACGCATCTGTGTAGTTCTTTACATTCGAAAAGAGAAGTAACGGGTAGTCTAATATAATTAAATCTGAGTAAAGACCCAGAGATGCTCTGGGGTCTTTCCAGTTTTCATGAGAAAATAAAACAACAACAGTACTCCGGAGACTGTTGGATTAACCAATTCGATGAACTTAAGAAATTAAAGGATGCATTACTCTGTACGTTACGAGGTCCAGCAGACATACGACCAACATTGACGACAGCAGAAACGCGAAGATGTAGGCAGCATCGAGTGTTCACCCTGCCTTTGTTACCACAATTTGCAGCAATTAGTTAGTGTTTCATGAAGGCGACACGTTTTCTAAGTAAGTTCGTTTGAGCTTGGTATGCAAAAGTTTTCATGTCAGCGATTGTGCACGCATCAATCGTAAAAGAAATACATCTTTAATACAGTTAAAACGAGGCATTTTGAAGATTAAAAACTTTAACAGATTTTCGGGTTAACGTAAAGTTCGGTTTCATGGTTCGTATGACTTACCTTAAGAAAAATTTAACCCTTTAGTCCTCAGTAAAGTCAATGAACGCAGGATGATGAAAAATGCAATTAGCTAACACGTTTCTCGTTTTTAATCTATAGTCGTATTTAAAGGTAACTCGTAATTCTATTTTTCCTTTTAGCAGTTTGTAAATAAAACACGAATGGAAAAAAATGTCCAATTATTTTCCCCAATACACTAAGGAAACGGTAAAATGACTAAGCATTAAAATTTATAATTTTGAGGTGACGCGATTGTATTTATTATCAGGGTATTTGTTCCGTACTTCATTAAAAAATTTTCTGACCAATCGGGAGGTTTTACGAACGGATGCGATTACATTGTAGCTATAGCTAGTCTAGCTAGCCATACTCTGGTAGACAGTGCAGTTTTTGACTGGAATGAGTATGTCCGGAACTGTACGCATTAGGGAAAATGGCAGAAATGGCGATTAATCGCCAAAATCGCCAAATTATAAACAAAAATTCAAGTGAGATGGCAAAGGGGCCCTTTGGAAAGTGGCGATTTTGGCGAAAATGGCGTATTTGGCAAAAGTGGCGGAAATGGCAATTAATCGCCAAAATTGCCAAATTGTCGGTTTGATCACAGGGAGCCCGAACGCTGTATTAGCTAATAGAAAAAATTAGATGTTTTTACGCTGTATTAGCTAATAAAATAATAAGATGCATTTACCTTTGTTCCTGAGTCTTTATGACTCGTTTTGGAAGGGATTTGAATCCGATCAGAGACGGTTAACGTTGGTTGTCAAATCCGTTTGCTTGTCTGGCGCTAAGTAAATAAGACGCTCAAGTTTCGTCTCACGTTTCTAATATTGCTAACTATTAACTTTCCACTAACGGCCACGGCCACGGCCACTAACCCCACGCGAGAAAAGGCGAGTCGCCTTTTCTCGCGTGGGGTGATTTCCACGCGCGCTCGCGTTTCGCTCGCTCTACTATCCCTGAGAAAAAATGGGGGACTACTCGTAGTCTAATTTGATTCAGTTGTATTTGATAAATTTTCTTTTTTGTAGTTCAATAAAGACACTTTAGTTCAAGAACGACAACAAAGTTCAATAACAACTACATGAGTTCAGAAAATGACATAAGCATTACTAAAACCCAGTGAAAATTCAGTTTTAAATACTGCGCAGTTAAACAAAGACATAACGGGCAGTCTAATATAAGAAGTAACGGGCAGTCTAATATAAATAAATCTGCGTAAAGACCCAGAGATGCTCTGGGGTCTTTTTAGTTTTCGTGAGAATAAAAACAACAACATTACTCCGGAGACTGTTGCATTAACCAATTCGATGAACTTAAGAAATTAAAGGATGCATTACTCTGTACGTTATGAGGTCCAGCAGGCATACGACCAACATTGACGACAGCAGAAACGCGAAGATGTAGGCAGCATCGAGTGTTCACCCTGCCTTTGTTACCACAATTTGCAGCAATTAGTTGCTTCATGAAGGCGACACGTTTTCCAAGTAAGTTTCGTTTGAGATTGGTATGCAAAAGTTTTCATGTCAGCGATTGTGCACGCATCAATCGTAAAAGAAAGACATCTTTAATACAGTTAACTGAGTTAAAAACGAGGCATTTTGAAGATTAAAAACTTTAACAGGTTTTCGGGTTAACACAAAGATCGGTTCCATGGTTCGTATTACTTACCTTTAGGAAAATTTAAACCTTTAGTCCTCAGTAAAGTCAATGAACGCAGGATGATGAAAAATGCAATTAGCTAACATGTTTCTCGTTTTTAATCTATAGTCGCATTTAAAGATAACTCGTAATTCTATTCCGGTTGCTATTAGCTGTTTGTAAATAAAACACAAATGGAAAAAATGTCCAATTATTTCCTCAATATACTGTTAAAGGAAACGGTAAAATGACCAAGCATTAAAATTTATGATTTGGAGGTGACGCGATTGTATTTATTATCAGGGTATTTGTTCCGGTACTCCATTATAAAATTTTCTGACTAATCGGGAGGTTTTATGAACGGATGTGATTACATTGTAGCTATAGCTAGCCATACTCTGGTAGACAGTGCAGTTTTTGACAGGAATGAAATAAATGTGGTAATTAAGAATGATTTTAGTCAACTTCTTCGTTACTGAATTGGGACAATCAGACAGTAAAATATTGTTGCTCCTATAAATATCTTTCCTCAGCAGGATGCTTAAAATTCGGCTCCCGATTAAATTCTATACCAGTTGCACAATTATTAGGAACACGTGCAACCCAAACCACCCACTATGTGAACACAGTACCCATGCGCGGATCTCTAACCTTGACTGATGACAGAGCGCAAACTGAGCACCAGAAGTTGAGTTCACATTACCAGAAATTCGAGTTATTTCATCACGAACACCGCACTTGAATTTAGTCAAATGGACATTTAAAAATGGCTTCTCCAACCTACAACGAAAAGTATTGGATCGAAATAAAATATTGTTTGCCAGATTACAAAACATCAGTTAAATGTTGTGCACCGACCTCTCTTGATAGATTAAGATTCAGTCAGTGTAAAACAAAGACTGCGGACCGTGGACTGTGGACTGCAGACTGCGGACCAGTGGTAAAACGCAGACTGAGTGCAAAATGCAGACTGCAGACTGAGAGTAAAACGCAGGTTGGGTGCAAAATGCAGAATGAGGACTGCAGACTTTTTAAACATTTGTGCTCCTTCTTCTCCAAAAAGCTAGCTACTATAAGTTACACAACTCGCTTCCTGGTCGGAGTACATTGCACGTTCGCCAGAAGTTTCAATGAGCGTCGAACAGCTAAAGTCTGCGTACTTTGACTTGCAATACTGTCAAAGAAAATTTCCTGCAGAACATCTTGCTTTGTTGTTGGAATGATTTGCTCCATTTTTAATCGCAATTATTCCTTCTGTACAGTATTTTGGGTCAGCAGCTTTTATTTAAGCATAAACATCATAGTGTTGTACCAATTCATGGTCATGCATATCGAAAACTTTGAAGCATGAGGTCTCTCGGAAAAAAGGTTCAAGATGGCGGTTATGTTTTCCGGTCGTCGATGATTTTCCAGAGAAGAAAGGAATGGATTTGTGAAAGCAGATGTCAAGTAAGTGATCGTTTACATGTACTTAAGGGATTTGTTTGCCCTTAAACGCTTCCGTGACCACAGTTTATGCTCGGTCGGCATTTTACCCCCAGTCCGCAGTCCACATTTTGCATTTGGCACCCAGTCTGCATTTTAGCCCTAGTCCGTAGTCTGCAGTCCCCAGTCCTGAGTCTGTGTTTTAATACACTGACCTCATTAAGATACTACGAAGCGAAAGGTTTTTTTACCGTTCAGTTAAGATTAAGTCAAAATATGAGAGATTATCCACAGCAATTTTATGGAACGCCATAACTGTCTTATGGTCTCATGATATTTTGTTTTCTTATCCGTGGTGCTTTTCTTATCATCTTCGGTTCTTGTATCATGATATTCGGTGCTCTGGTTGCTATAATCGGTGCCAGTGACCTTACACTCGGCTCTTTATCCAAGGTACTCGGTATTTTCCACATTATACCCGGTGTGCACGCCATTATACTCACTGCTAACCGCTTCATACTCGGTGCGTTTGCAATTATATTCGGTGCTTAGATCAATTTTAGTGGTGCAGCTTTCTTTATATTCGGTGACTAGTTTGCCATGCTCGGTGCTTTTTCGTAGTCAGTTTGCACCTGATTTGTGGTCAGTTTAGCATCTGGTTCAGTGCAAACATATTGCTACTCGGTGCAAACAACTTGCTACTCCGTGCTCAGCGATTCGGTTCATATAGCATTATATTTGGTGCATTTGCAACATGGTATTCGCTGAGCCAGTATATCTGGTCATCTTAACTACTCCAAAGCACATGCTCACATCGTATTTGTGAGACTGGTCCCCAGAGCCCACCGTTTCGATTGGTCACGTGATCAGCGAGCGGCTACGGTCAGCGAACATGTACCATACATGACGTACACACCGATAATCGCGCCAAGAGCAATTTCTTCCCGCCTTTGTAATCTTACCACAGGTAACCCAGGGCTCTGTGATAGTACCACAGTACAGTTCCAGTAAAATTACTGTGTTTGTATGAGTTAAAAATATCATCCTAAAATTTCTAGGAAATACTAAATAGAGTTCAATAAAACTTACTCTGCAGTTAATTGTTGTTGTCCTTATTGCTGTAATGAAGTTTCGTGATAATTTGCAGTAATTTGTTCAAATTCACTCTATATACAATAATAATATACAAGGTAGGAAACACGAGATGCCATTTTCGCCGACATGCTCTCATTCAACACAACTTTTTCCACGAAATTCGAACTCCGACAGAAAATAAACATGCCAGGATAGTAGAAATAGGATAGCAGCAGATATAGAAATCAATGAAGCTTTCCCAGATAGAGAAACGAATCCCACAGACTTTGACAAACTCGAAGGATATAATCCAAACAGACCGAGAATATGCTCGCCGAAGCAGATAGGCCAGATCAATGCGCTGCCAAGAAAATGTGGCCTGGGTACTGTACAAAAAAAATCCATCCTGGAAGTCCTGAGGTGACCTTTCTGGGGACCAATGCATCATTTGCCCAAAGCCACCCTACCCTGCTGAAAAAATACTTGATAGAAGGCAATTGTTCATCCTAGCCGTACCACCCTGGCCTGTTATAAAGACATTATGTCCCTGAAAATTCTGTTTATTCTCAGTTTTTGAAATACTTGAGAGAGGTTGGAAGTAAGTTTATTTGACATTTAATATGAACAATCTTTCACATTCACACATAATGCATCTTGCTAACAAAAATATCTCACTGTGTGGAGGCAACATCATGTAACACAACAGCTATCACACCTAACACCTGTTGATAACACAAAAGCCATGAAATGTACTTGTTATCATCTGCTGCATGTTGCTATTATTTTTATTTATTTCTGCCAAAAATCTACATAGAATCGTAACTAAGGAACAGGAAGAACTGCTTATAGCTTTATCTAAGATTAACAAGGATCAAACTGGATCTGACTAAATATGACTTTTTAGTCATATTTAAGTAAGAAAAACCAGGTATTGAAAATATTGTTTTTGACTATCAAGGATGGATTTATCATGTAAAGGCTGTAGATCTTACTTGTACGGTATCTATTTGCAATATTATACCATATAGGTTTTTTGAAGCAACTATATTCAAATGATGTGACTAAAAGTGCTTAAGTACAGGTATTGCCACCCTCCAGAAAATTATGAACTATCATTTTCTGCTCTTTCCATGCTACAGGTCATGAAGTACCAATAGCCTTTACAATGTAGATGTTGTTTTGTTACAGTTGAAATGCTAAAAAATATGCACTGCTTAGGTTTGGGACATTTCATAGAGTTTTTGCCTGTAAATTTAGAAAATGTCAGATTGATCATAACTTCAGGTTTTAGAATTTCTGCTAAGTACAAATGAATCTTGTTATCCATTCTGAAGTAAAGGGTAAGGCTTGCCGTACCCTTTTTAGTTCATGACTTTGTAGATCATAAAGGCAGTTTTTGGGAAGTGCCTTGAGACCTCTTTTGCTTTGTGGCTACTGCCCTTGTAATTTCTTGAAGTGGGCACAGTTAAGTAGTCCATTCATTGGTTGTGGACTGGTTTAAACCAGTGATAATAATACTAGTAACTCATACTTAATGACAACTGGGCAGGTTTGTTTACCCTTCAACCGCCAATATCAATATGCTCTATTCTCCTCACCATACTCCCTGTGTATCTTGTGATAACGGTGGTATGCTGTCAGGAGAAATAGATGCTGGTCATGCACTATTGGGGCTTAAAGGGGTAAAGTGTAAATCTAGTTACATGTACAGCAAAACAGTTTCTTGTTTGAACTTGCATAGAATCTTGGTTTTCCAGTTAACAAACTTCTGGTTAGTTGCCTTTCACAGCAAAAAAAAAAGTGAGTGATATTTTACTCTAAATTTTCAAAGCTGCAATTTGTCTAATCACTCACATTTCCTCTGTTGTTTGGAAAATCAAGATTGTAATAAAGTTCTACAAAGAATCACCAAGGTTAAATTCCTTTGTATCTTTGAATAACTTCAGCTGCTGTTTGAAAGTCTTCAATTCCATGGTTGAAGGATGTGTATGTTTTTTAATAAAGTTCAGTTTTGCAAGGCTCATCAATTTCTATTACCAGTGGACAAAACACTGGCCTGTTGTCCCTGTCTTCATCATCAGTTACAATTCCTTCTACACCATAATTATTCAGATCCAATATTGAGACATCTGGCCCAGGGTCTTGCATCTGTCCAGCCAACCACAGCCGAAGTGGACTAGATCTGACGGTGTGAATGCGATGGCGAGACCAGGCATTTTGCCATATTTTCAATTTCTCGTTGATCTTAGGTAAATATATGAAAGGGTCAAGGATTTGGTTGTCTTCCATGAAGTAAAACAGGTCATAATAAAAACCCAAAACTGCTTCATACACATCCCTCCATAAACGTTCTATACGTTGGTTATGGGCACTTTTTCCTGTAATCATGCTACCTCGGTTACCCCCTCTGTTTTCAATCATAAAATCAGCTATGCAAACATTTTCTAAACCCTTGTCACTTCGAACCCTACTTGGTATACCAAACTCATGAACAGCAATTAAATTAAAAAAGCATCTGAGAATAGTAGCAGTAGAATTGTTATCAGTGCACTCCAGCATTACGGGCAACCGGCTAAATCCGTCTATTCCACCTACAATAACAAAATTCCAACGAATCAGCTTGTGATTGGTATCAACATGCCATAATTTCACATTGTACACTCTTCTTTGGAGACGTCCTTTTGTTCATTCCTGGACACCTAATCCATCTACTCTGTGTAAGCTATCTCTTAACCGCATTCGTTGAACCATAACCCCTTTTTCATACAATAGCTGTTTCAGAAGTACCTCACCACAACGTGGAAATTCTTTCGTTGTTTCATGCAATTGGTGATCAAGTTCCTCGTCGGATATGTTGGAAAACTGTAATTTGCTTAGTCCATAAAGTCTCATTTGGCGGTAAATCGTACTTTCAGATAGTGACATCATATTAGCAATTTCTGAGATAGGGAAGTCTTCTTCCAAATAACATTCAAGCACTGACTTTGGGATATCAGAAGCAGGAGGTCCGAGAGCACTTGGAAATTTCATTGGTTGTTCTGCACCAAACGTTACACAGGCTATTCTTAAAGTCATTATTTCCCTCCGATTTTGTAGGCCAAGTTCCTTGAGTTCATGCCGGGACAGTTTACAAACAATGTCAGGCGATATTTTTTCTTCTTCAAACCGATCTATCAAACCGTCCATTTTCAATTTTCTCAACACCGAAGACATAGTTGACATGGCCGCCATTTTGTAATTGGTGTATATTATACATCATGTTCGCTGACTGAGATATCCCCAATTCTCGTTCCAGAGCCGCTCGCTGACCACGTGACCAATCGAAACGGTGGACTCTGGGGACCAGTCTCACAAATACAATGTGAGTATGTGCTTTGGAGTAGTTAAGATGACCAGATATACTGGCTCAGCGAATACCATGTTGCAAATGCACCAAATATAATCCTATATGAACCGAATTGCTGAGCACCGAGTAGCAAGTTGTTTGCACCGAGTAGCAATATGTTCGCATCGAACCGGATGCTAAACTGACCACAAATCAGGTGCAAACTGACTACGGACAAAGAACCGAGCATGGCAAACTAGCCACCGAATATAAAGAAAGCTGCACCGCTAAAATTGATCTAAGCACCGAATATAATGGCAAACGCACCGAGTATAAAGTGATTAGCAGTGAGTATAATGGCGTGCACACCGGGTATAATGTGGAAAGTACCGAGTACCTTGGATAAAGAGCCGTGTATAAGGTCACTGACACCGATCATAGCAACCAGAGCACCGAATATCATGATACAAGAACCGAAGATGATAAGAAAAACACCACGGATAAGAAAACAAAATATCATAAGACAGTTATGGCGTTCCATACCATTCCCTTACAATATTATCAAAGTACTGTCACTTACCTCGACTTCCAAACTCTGTGCCCACTTCCATCGGTGTCGCCGGGGACGAAGTAAAATTTGCGTCAGTTTTCGATACGTTAAACAAGCCCTTTGGTGGTTAATTGGGGGGCTGTAAATCAATATCGAAGAAAGGGCATTTCCACTAACCGATGTAACCTTTAACTGGGCCTGTGAGTGTCCTGTAGAACACGAAGAACTACTTGTTTTCATCGTTTCTTTCCCCAAAAAAGCTTTCACGTTTACTTCAGCTGGGGGTTACGCTTACGCCAAATAGATATATCCTTCATGTAATAGTAAACCCAGCTGGGACAGCTGTGCAGCCTGGCAATGCTTGCGAAATATCTACTTCCTCATGTTGGAGTGCGCTGACCATGAAAGGCTCATATACCCTGCCGATTTGTTGTAATTTTGCCCCTTCATGTACACACATTAATTATTCTTCAATTTAAGTGGTTTAAATCAGGTTTACAACGTTTTCAGTTAATGTAGATTGTATTTGTTTTGAAAAAGGTAAGGAAAAAAAACTATGTTACAACCCAAAAGTGACTCCCTCCGTAATCCACTGCGTAACCTCAAATCAGTCAGTTGTTATGTTCTCAGTAGGCGCTATACCCTGCGAGCAGAAGTTTCTTTCAGGCATGGTTTTAAGCATGTGCCAATAGTGCGCATGACAGCGACACGAACGACTACGCATTTGCTATGACCATGGTTGAAAGACACCTCTGTTCCAGGGTATAGGTGTTAAGAAGAAAGAGAGACTGGACAGCGGGTACGTAGGTAAGTAGGTAGGGAGCTATATACTTTTAAGACGGATAGCAGGCTGCAGGTAACTCAGAGAGGCCGAAAATTAGCCCGAGTTTTTTGAGAGCATCATTTAAGCTTAGTTCTAGCTAAACATGCAATTTGCGTATCGAATGAAATTAGGGTTTCAACTATCAGGGAAGCTTTTTAATAACCACTTGCCTGACCTCGATGAAAAGTTTGGCGCCTTTTTGGTTTAATAGCTTCCACACTGTGCCTTGTACTTTTGTAGACCTTTGTTTTCCTTCAAGAATACTGCACAGCGCGTTCGGAAAAGTACTACTTTAAACAACCTTTGGAGTTTAAACCAGAACGATGGCTGAGAGAAAACAAAGATGAGATTCACTCCTTTTCTAATCAGCCATTTGGATTTGGAACACGCATGGGTGTAGGTAAGGAACTAACATCATCAAAAGTCTAGATCTAATCATTTAATTACGTGATGACTTTGTCCACTTAATCGACTTTAATAGACTTCTGTCTGCTGCAATGAAGATTGGTTTTTCCAGTCGATCAAGCAGATATCAGAACGATTTGAAAATTAGATTTGCCAATCGAACGGATCCAATCCCTGGATTTAGATTTCAGCATTGGATTTCGCGTCTTATCGCCAATCTATAATCCGGATTTGAAAATCTGAATCCATGTTTCTCAATCGAACGTTCCCTTAGTAACGTGACCAAGCAGACCTACGACCTTTGTTATATCCCTAGTTCGCCCTGTGCAAAGTAGCTTGAGAAAGCAGCCGACATTTCACGACACCAACACTGGTTTCCCCGCGAAATGACGTCTGAGAAATGAGCGCAGAAATTCCATACTGATGACGCGTCACTACCCGGATCTGGGTCGTGCTTCTGATTGGTTGAAGCAAATTTTCCACGCGGCAAGACCAATCAGAAGCACTATCCAGATCTGGATAATGACGCGTCATCAGTATGGAATTTCTGCGCTCATTTCTCAGACGTCATTTCGCAGGGAAACCATTGGTGGCGTCGTGAAAAGTGGGCTGTTTTCTAAGGCTAGGTAATTAAAGACAATCTTGGATTGTCGACTCGAGGCAGTGGATTCCGGATTCCAGGATTAAAGTGCAGATTCTTTGACAGTGGAAAAGGGATTCCGGATTTTATTCGTTAGCGGAATTCCGGATTCCTTGAGCTGTATTCCGGAATCCAAAGCCCGGGATTCCGGATTCCACCAGCCAAAATTTGCCCGGTTCCAGAATCCGGATTACCTTACCTTGGCGACCAAGAATAGAATTGCATTGTCACGGCAGAATTAAGAACAGGGGAAACGAGTGAAGTACAATCAATAGAAGTACAAAATCGAGAGTTGTGTCGAGTCGAGTTTGGTGTAATTGAGACGGACCAATCGCAGCGCACGTAGCGTTTACTACATTGTAAAACGTTTGACAGTACATAGCTAAATTGAAGATCTATCATAGAATTATGATTTACCGACCTTTTTTGCAGGTCGTCGTTTAGCTGAGTTGGAGATCTATGTATTTCTTTGCCAAGTAAGCATCTATTTTCGGCATTTTTTGTTCTCATTTTCGCATAATGCTGCATGGGTAACTTTCACAGTCCCTCGGTGTCGCCAACTAGAATCATGACGATACCAACTGAAGGCAGAACTCTTTCCACAGTCCGGCTTCAATTAGTCAAATAACCTTTTTCATTTGTCAGAATTTCCACATGAGCCCTTGAATCCTAGCCTGCGTACGTAGCAGCTGTACTTGTCACTCGAGAGGCCCTGACAGAAAACTCAATATAAAAATAGTCTATTTAACAATTATTCCACGAGTGCGCGTTGGATATGAGAAAAAAATCGAGAATTCTTCCCGACTTTATTTGTAAAACCAACCGATTTTCAGCTTGTTTTTAATTTTGAGCAGACGCGTACAGTACCATATTTGGAGAGCATGGTATAATGTCATATACCATGATGGCTAAGCCAATCACAGCTCTAGAATTGCATTATCCAATGATTCAGTTTGTAATAAATAGTCTATATCAGGGATTTAGACTGTCTACGACGCAGGCTATTGAATCCTGAAGCACCCTACCTCGAAAATAACGAAATGACCGCGAAAATAACCAACTGAAAGCAGCGGTTAGATGTTCTGTAGTATTCAGCAGCACATTTAAGAGCCAAGAGTTTAACAAATACTGAAAAGAAAGACATAACAAACTGTTCAGTAGCTTTAAAAATAAGGGAGGCATCCAAAAAAATAAGAAAATAACAAGATCTTGTCTTTCTCTCTCTCTCCCCCATAGTTTCTTTAGCGTTTTCGCGTGGAATCGTGTCACCAAGAGCCTCTGGAGCCTCGCCAAAAGTTAGTTACTGTTCCAGACAAACCTGTTAAGATCAGGTTGCTTAATCACCTTTGAATGTCGCGTGCCAGAGTATCTGGAGGAAAAAACAATGGCGAACCGCAGGGGAGGAAAGGTGCAAAATCCATCATGATCCATAGCTAACTTGTTTATTCAAAATATTTGTTTTTCAAAATCCCCCGGCTAATTCTCCATGGCCAGGAAGCAGTAATCAATTTTAGGAGACGTTTGCTGATATCGATATGACTGACATAAATGGTATCGATGGACAAAAACAAGGAAAGCAGACGCAACGCAAAGAGGTGGCGCGAGGTAGCTATTTTTGGGAGGGTCGGTGCTAGAGAACATGGCGCGGAAGATTTCACACGACGTTCACACGTCTTCTGCCTCCAAAACAGAGCAAAAATAGGCAAAAATACCACTCGACTGATGAGAACCGCCACATAAACAATATCTGCTGCAATGGACTTATCACGGTTTTGGAAACCATCTTGTCGGGTTGGCAACCGCGCGGAAAAATACAGTGTTTGTATGCGAATCTAACGTCCAGTATTTTTTGTAAAACGGTTGTTTTGAAAAAAATAAAGTTGTGATCTAAGGCTACTTACAAAAGGATTTTATTGACAAAATTTGAGGGCCTTACTAGCGCTAAAATCCCCGGAAAAAACGGCTGAGCCGTTCCAAATTGAAATAGGCGTTCTTAATTGATTCAAACGCCGAGAAGTTTCTTGTACTTAGGGCGTGTTCGATGACATAATTTCGGAATGAGAATAAATTGAATTTAGTCTAAAAATCACTCATTTTGGCGTTTATTGCTATGCAATAACTAGAAATCTGCTTAAAATAAGATATCACGATGATTGTAGCGTTTAAGTGGGACAAAAAGTACGCCGGTATTAGAGATTTGCAACAAAACTTTTGCGGATTCGTATTCCGGAATACGATCATTCGAGCGCACCCTTAATTAAGCCAGAGTGTACTATTACATTGTAGGTGCAGCTCATGACAAGTTCGACGTCTATTAATACTTACTTACTTACAAACTTTACAGAATAATGGTTACTGTCTCTATAAAAACGTTAACCACAAAAACATGCATGATAGTACACATACAGGTGTATGCTGCTAATCACAGCCGGTCCACAAACTTGATTTTAACCGGTTTATCCGGAACGGCAAACAATTTTTGGCACATCTCTAATGGTTCGTGGTGATACTCTAAACGGAATCGTTGAAGCAACTGCAAGAGAAAAAAATCATAGAAAAAGGATTGATAATAACTATAATTACTAAGATGTCTCCTCCCATGACAACCAAGCAACTAGCAAATAAGTGTACCACCCCGCTTGAATAAGTACCCTACCCCTCTCTACCTCAATTTTGTTCGTAGTAAGCAAATGACAAGGAAACTTCTTTTCTCCTAGATAAAATTTGAAACTATTGCTTCACGGACAGCGATGTAGAGAAACAGCCTTTACAAACCTACGACCCAAACGTGGGGAAAAAGAAGGCATGAAGTAATCGGACGTACAAGAACGCGATGAGCTCCCTCCTTCGCGTTCTCGTCGTCCTAAATACCAAGTCTAATGTCCTTGAAAAATACTTAAAAGGATCGGACAAAGAAACATTGCGCATAAAACCCCTACAACGCATACCTTGCAGACAAGAATGTACAACTCCAACTCAGCCACGCGACGTCCTAAAACCGAACAAGACAATCAACCATGGCCATGCTTTTGAATAAAACGTTTAGGCAAATTTAATAACAACAAACTAAGCAGAGCCCACTGAGCGAAGTAAAGAGTGAAGTTTAGGTTAACATAAATCCGTAAAGGTGAGCATTCCTGGGAAAATTTGAAACTTAAGCTACTGACACTAAAATAGACAACAAAAAACGTGCAACTTGTTTTGCAACAGTGCTGTAAAACTAGTCAGTGATTAGCGATGTTGCGCGTTTTACCACCCACGAAAACAAACCTTGCAATCTTATTTGTTGCAAGACAGGTTCGAAGGTGGGTGGTAAAACGCGCAACATCACTATTCAACTTAGCCTGTTCACAAACAAAACGTAGTGTAAAGCAGTTGGAGGTCCAAACAAATGTTTAAAGCTAGACTGCGAGCAGTCCCTCCTTTTCTTCAGATTTAGTGAGGGGTGTCGAGCGCGAGATAGTCTAGCGGCGATAAAAGAGACTGAACGTAGTCTATTTCAACTAACGTAGGTCTCTTACCAAGGCACATACGGGTTCCAAATCCGAATGGAAGATTAGTAAAGGCGTGATTTTCGTCTTTGTCTTTATTCAGCCAGCGCTCGGGTTGAAAGTCAAGAGAGTCTTTATAATATTTTCCAGACAATGCGCAGCAGTAGAATTCCATTACTACAATGGTCTGGAAGAACCAATGTGAACCATTAATCAACCCAAGTAAGGAGTATCACCGCACGTTTTTCCTTAATTCATTAGCTCAAGAGAATGGACAACAACTTAATCCTCACACTTTGAATTTTATACCTGATCCCCATCACCCCGGCCAATGAACGCAAATATGTTTTTCGCTTCTGGGTGACGCTTTGAGCAACGATCAAGAAGTCTATTCCATCAAACCAATTATCACTATTTCAACACTTCTATTCTGGGTTAGAAATTTAGTTTAAAGGAAAACAAACATAATCTAAGCATAATTTAATGTGAATTGAATTAAAAATATCATATATCCACGAAAAAACAGCAACTAAGATGGTGAACGTCCGAGATTTTAAACGTTTTCGCTTCACGTTACGAGATCAAGGGAGTGGTCCGATGACGTCATATTTGGATCTGTATATAGCCAATACGTACTGTGCTATAAAATGGCTAATGCATGGCAAAAGGAGTTTAAGTTATACGGCCAGAATTTTCCCTAGCAACAGTCCCAAAAGATAGGTCAGAGGGCCCTTAAGCAGTGTT